TTGTAACTTTGCACTAATGACAAAGCTACGGAAGCACAAGTTTTTAAATTTGAATAAACAAAATGTATGTTAATAATTAAATGTTCGTAAATCCGGGTTCTGTTCACTTTAAACTGCAGATAATCTGACATTAGCAGAAGAAAAAGTCCCTTAGGATCTTTGAATAAAAATCGGAACAAAGAGATTGGGTGAGAGTGTGTCCGAACGTTTGGGTGAATTAGCTCGAAAACGGATCAAATGGGGATGTTTGGCGGTACTTACGCCTTTATTGTTTATACGTAGCTCAAATGCTTCTACTTTAATTAAATGATTTTTGCGTTATATAGATGGACTATCTTTCAAAAACGAGTTTGTTTCTCTTGACATTAAAAGAGTTTTGGTATTGCATTAAACATAAAGGGAAGAACCAACACTATTAACGTCCCATTCGCATCCTGAAGTGGAGTCCTGAATTCTGATAACGTTTAAGATGTTAGTCAAAATGAGTAATAAGCATACATGTACTTGGTTTGTTTGGAAATCATCAAGACAAACTATTTAATGTGATAATTTCAAGTGTCTGTAGTTGAGCTATTGCAGACTTGTCAACTTCATGAAAAACAAATTTCCAAGACGGCTGTCGAATCATCAAGTTCCAGATGATGACCAAGCGACGGTTGGTCACTGAATAAATAATCTTAAAGAGATTACAGCATCTTGAAGTCGTAATATAATTCATTTAAATTAATCTTTCAATATTTATTCCTCGTTACAATTTATCCATTTTATCCCTGGAGGTAATTCCCATGGTGAATTTAACTTGTCAAGTGTTCAATTCAATATGGAGTTTGTTGATCGCCATCAGAGTCCGCTACAAGAATTAGTGGCAATTTAACAATCTCGTGAAATCGCATTTTATTACTTTATTTGCATCTAGTGAAATTCCTATAAACTATGAGCAAGTCAAGTGTCAATAACGAGATAAAAGTGTCACCAACAAGTAGGCAAATTAAAGCAGCACCCTGACTCACCCTCTCAATTACCTCCCTTTATTCTCACACACGTGAGCGGAAATAAAATGAGATCCCCTGAGACCAGGATCCAATATGGAAGTAAAGGAATCTATGATCATTGATTGGTCAATTATTGTGTGTATTGAGCAAGGAAAACGAATGTTATTCTATCAAATTAATAGCTATCCTGTCATGTGAAAGAAATTTTAAGCAAGCTGTCCGTGTCATGGCGAGATCAATTATCTAAAGTGTTACTAGTAATTTAACACATAATCACCTTATTCCTTCGTCCAGAAAGTTAACAATCATCTTGCAGGGAGAGCATTGAATCTGTTGAAATGAACGAATATACTGTCATTTTAATCACGTGTAAAATGAACATCATTATACCCAAAGTCATTTATATTTGAATGCAGATTGGTGATCTATTCTTTTTTAAGTGGTATCAAAAGTCTACAACTGTAGCTGCTGGCCTCTCTTATGGGCTTAAACTGTGACTATCTGAAAGGTTGCTGGTAGAATGATTCAAAGACTGAAGTCCAGTTACCACTTTCAGAAACCTTTACGTCGCATATCATATCAAGCCAATTGTCTCGTTTGCTTGAAAGAAAGAAATTTGTGAACTCGGGACTATAGGTCTTCTTGACAGCATAAATTTGAAATCTTTTCTTACTCCTGACAACCTCATGTGGTAAAGTTAAATTTCAGTGAACTCAGTCAACCAGTTATTGAGTGGTCAAAACCCACGTCTCCTTATTTGAGTTGGTTTCCCTTTGTCTCCCTGTATAGACGTCTGACTTTTATAATCCTAGCGAAATTTGATTCATTTTTTCTCAAAAACCTTATTTTAATCACGAAAATCTTTTAGAAATTGATCTATTGTGGCACCATTGTTGTGGCAGAGGTTAATTTTTATTATAAAAAAATTCGTCACCTATGAACTGATGCTGGCTATTGGAGATGGTAGAGGAAGCGACAGGATCGCCAAGGGCAGCATATTTAATGGGAAAAAAGTTGTTAAAGGATCGAAGTTTCACCAATGGCCCAAAACAGTCAATATACCTCTGACTCTTGAGAAGGTCTTGTGCCAGCACAATTCATTAAAGGTGTATAATATTTATGACTAGACAAATTCGAATTAAAAGCTTCTTTAACACATTGATTATATTTTTCTTATACTGTAACATGTTTATAAAGTGTACAAGGTATCACAGTACCAGTAGTAATTTTCTGTAGAATTCTCTCTATACTCACACCACACCAAATCTCACACTTTAAGCATTAATGTACTATATGTCACGGTGACGATAAAAAAAAATGCATGAATGAAGAGTGGGACTCTGTTTTGATCGTAGTTTCGGCCAAATAATGGCCTGATACCTTTCAGATGAGGTTTACAATGTCAGTTATAAATGGGTCACTGGATAATGGTGAGACTATTTTCAGACCAGACATTATTATTTTCGATTTTGTGTCTGGTTATTCTCACAACCCTGAAATATTAGGGATACGATGACTATATGACGATATCGGACGTCAATCCACATTTAGTTACTCCTTTTCTTTGGATAAGCACCATAAAAGAATAATAAGATTTTTCAGTAAACGTTGGTTCATAGTTAAGAGACAGATTCGCCATTTTCGGGAGTTGATTTGTGTCTTGAATATATATGTAAAGTCTTCTGAAGTGAGGTACAAGAATACCTCAAACTAAGGTTTTCTTTCTTCTTCAATATATGGCAGAGCCTCAAGTAACCTTTAACGCGGATAATCATTGACACACGTGGATTTGAAACAACCCTAATTTCATTGATGATCTATGGTCACAATTACTGAAAAGCTAAGCTAACAAATTTCCCGTTTCTGAGACGAAGGTACGATTGATGAAACAGATGGCAAATTTGTTCCTTTAGGCTGGCGAACCGACTTGAATTATTTGATTAAAGGGAGGTAACTTTAATCAAAGCTTACTATAACAGTCCACAGTTGTTGATAGTTGTTTCGGTTTCAGGTGACTACACTTGCTGTCCATGATCTGACGAAATTTCACTTAATATTCAACCAATCATATGCTCTGTGATAAAAAAAATTTCTGAGAATTTCAGTGGTAAACGTTGTCTTTTAACATTGTATTTGAATGGTTGGCATAAATTACTACAACTTTAGATGCTAGCAGGTCAAAGATTCCAAAGAAGACAATTTAAAGAAGAATTTCGTCAGATCATGGTGACAAGTCTAGTCAAAAAACACCAAGGTCTGTATTTCCTCCAGATTCTTAGCCCTTAATAATCATTTTACTTCTTTATTTATTGTTATGTTCTCTCTTTCTATGTTGAACATTTTTCCAGTCATTAAAAACAATCCATTTGAAATTGATTGAGATTTATTGAATGATAGAAAAATACATTATATAATGAAAATCTTCATGCAGAATACAATATATTTTTTGAATTACAGAAATAATATAAACAGTTTTGAGCAACAAAATTAAAATCATCCATAATGCAAGATTCTTCAATTACACACTGCTTCTGCTGTACTAAAAATAGATTCAAATCCAAAACCCTGATAGAAGTGATGCCATTTACATGTCCTGGGTATGATCAGGGTGAAAACTTGTTCTAAGAATATAAAGATCCATTTCATAGACATAAAATGATCAATACATTGATTTAGTTACTTAGATAATGCCAAGACTTAAATCAAATATAAGTTAACTGGTAGGTATGCAGATGTCTTTGAAAATAAATTTTACAAACTCTGAACTTGCTTGAAAGTTGAAAGCCTAACAATTAAAATATAAATTGACGCTTGGTATTATCTGGCATGAATGTTTATATTATGTGTTTAATTAAAAAGTTTGAGACAAAATCAAAAATACTTCATAACATAAATAGTTATTTAATATCACCAGTACTTAATCTGACCACTAGATATAGTGTAAAAATTTATCCTAGTTGACAATTTGAGCTCTTACTTTCAGCTAAAAGTTCTGTAAGTTCATACAGATGATAGAGCAAATATTTAAAGGACTATATACCTTCAATAGTAAACACATGTAAACAACTAGTCCACCATTTTTATTCATTAGCAAAAACTTATACATGTATCACTAAAAAGGAAAAACCATACGTAAAGTATGTCCAGAATGTTTCAATTTCAAATAAAAGAAGGAGACGTTTCATCTAAAGCTCCACTGTATTGCCCTGTTCCTGATGTTTACATGTATTTACTGGACAATTATCCTGATAACAACAATCTAATGATAGTAACAATAATAACAATATAAAAGTAAGAATATAAAGTAATAATATCAATAACGTGGTAAGTATATTGTAAGTATGGGGTAAGTAGGTATATGGTTTATTTATAATGCTTTTCAACATGGTTATATATAATACAGCTTACTTCTTTGTTTTTTCTTCATATCAGCCCTCGATTAATTTTATAATTTACATAAGCAATCATTCCCAAGGAATATAACCAAAAAATGAACTCCCTGTATTTACTTTTATGTAACTTTACAGTATTGATACATATCTTGTATCCACGTTTGTTCAACAAAAGCCTGTCAGAATATACCTCTATATATTCAGTTTACCAGCTCAACATTCCTATTTATTCAAGTGAAAAGCATTATTAATACATTGTTGAATTATTATACAATGTTGAATTATTATATAATATTTGTTGAACACATCATGTAATATACATTTTATAAATCTACATCTCTCAAAAATCAACAATCTGTTATATTAACATTCTACCTTATTTACATTACTGTTAATAAGCTTATAACTATATCAAACTATTATCTATATATGGAACTATTACTTTTACATTAATTTGGAACTATTGGCTATATAGAACTATCATTTCCATGATGATATACTATATACATTCTACTTTCTATGGTTTTAATTGACCTTTCATAGCCAAGTCCTCAGTTTTAGTACTATCTTGATACAAATTGAGCACTACCTGAGACTTGAATATTTACAATTCATTCCAATTATCATCATATTTACAATGTAATATTTACAATTTCATCTTAGTTCCGTATTACATTTACAAAATGTAGACTGGAGTAATATTTACTCATATTCCGTGTAAGTATCTTACATCTCAAATCAAACCAACTGTAAATGGGTATAATAAATCGGGAAGTATCAAAGCCAAGGGATTTGGCCAAAATCTAGCTTGAAAAAGGACATTTGAACCTAAGTTAGCATATTATACTTGCTAAAACAAGGTAGATTCCTTTTTCCTTTCAATAGCTTATGTAATTTTATTTTGGTGCCTGGTTACCTTTAGTATATTTACATTTATTCCTTGTGTAGCTAGTGTTATATTTATATAATTAATATTGTGTGATGGTTACCATTTAATAATCTCTCAATTTTCTAATAACAGTTCAAATTTCAATCTTAATATATTATCATCCATGAGGACAATAAACTGTGATATTGAGTCTCAACAACGAGAAATTATTACATTATTGCCTGCAATTTTATCATCATACTAAAATCTAAAGTTTGAAACGTCTTAATATTATTCCAAATATCGCATTTACATATTATAATTTGAAAATTTACACCAACCTGTTTCATATAAATACAAAATGTAGTTATTGCAGCTACTATTTTTGTAAGAAACAAGCATTTTTTATATTTACATTGGTTTCTTCATAATATTGTTCTGTTGTTAAATTCTATTGCTTTTTAGATGTTGAGATTGAAAATATTTAGAATATAAATCTAGCACCAACTGTATCAAGTGAATCCAGGCCACTTGAACCACCACAATCTGGAGGAGGTGGTTCATCATCACCATCGCGACGGCTGTAATAGGAACTGGTAGAACTACTTCTTTCTCTTGTTTTAGTATTATATTTATTAGCTTCATCTTGTTCCTGAAATACATTAAATATGATTCTTAATACTAATATCCAGTTTAGTTTTGAATTAAGAATTGCTATTTGTTTTACAAACAGGACAGAGAGCAGCCTACAACGTAATGTTACTCTTTCCCTAAACAACATCAGAAAATCTCAACAAGCTGAAGATCTTTCTCAACTTCCTCAACAATTGAGAGAAGGAAATGCTATAAATTCGTTTCTTTTGAAGGATATTCAAGTATGAAGCAATGTCAGGATATTACGAACTATGTCTTATACTTGACTCAAATAGCCACCTTTCTTGTAGTACGGAAATTTGTAATTGCAGCCATTTGATTGAATTGTACCTCAATTAAAGGAAACGGGAAAAAGAATCAAGAACTATATTTTCTAGAAGATCAACATACCTGAAGATATTTGGAGTTATCTTTATCAATATCAGCTCGTAGTTTACTGATTATTGATGGTTCTTTAACAATAGTTTGTTGTCCTTCAAACTCACTGGGACTAATCTTTCTATACACCAAAACATAGGCTGTATCTCGGTTAAATCTCTTGGTGACATTACTGAAGGAATCATAGCTAGTATAAGATACTCTACAATCATTGAACAAATGCCATTTATTTTCTAGGAAGTCTATTTTATCCACATTATCACTGATATGTGGATTTCCAGTAGGAGATGAATGTCTGGAGTAGCAATAATAATGTCCACATTCAGATGATGCACCAGAATGAACTATAACAGAACACAATCCATACACTTCCTTATCTGTTCCAATAACTGAGTTCTCATCTCCCATCAAGGTTTTGTACACATCTGAAGGCACATTATTGGGTTTCATCCTCTTAGAGGTTTGTTCTGGTGATTTCTTAGTCTGGATTGGTAAAACTAGGGTTTCGGGATATTTAACTTCTCTGAAGATCTTGGATCGACACTGAAGTTTGACATCGTAAGAAAATCTCAGGAGTGTAAGCACCAAGTATTGTGGACTCTGTTCAATCTTGATGTTACTTTCACCTTCTTGAAGACCTTTACAATGATCACAATGATATTTATTATCTCCAGTTAATTTCTCTGTTTGTAGATAATGCTTGACTAGATCATTCAAATGTAAAGGTCCACTTTTATCAGCACTGGCATCCATCTTCTGCTCTTGTTCAACTGTGGTAATACTATGTTCAGAACTACCACCAACTAACTGTTTAGAGGAAGAAGTGTTATGTGGGAATGCAAGAGGGATGTCAATAAAATCTTCAACCTTTGTTGACTCATGTTTACATTTCAAGCACCTGACTGTAGAGCTCATCTTGCCACCAAATGTATCTTCAATAATGGTTTTATTGGGACTACCCTGGGTGATAGATTTCATTTTTTCCTGCTCATGCATCTGGTCCAGAAGATATTTAAGGAATTCTGAACAATCTTGTTGACAACCATTAGTAAACCATGGTGGTCTGGATGCATCAAGAAATGATGATGGAGCAATAGCAGGTCTCTGCAATAAAGAATATTATCAAAGATAAGATCACTATATTATGCAGTAATCCTGCAAACACTTTACCTTTACAATTAAGTTAAGCTAAAATAATTATAACAGTTATAACATATCATAAAATATCAAGAAAGAGTCCCTCCCCACCATATTCCCCCAATAAAACATGATCAACATTGTTAATAAATGAATCTGATGACAGAGCTAGAAAAGATTGTTTTACTTACATGTGATTTTGCTAAGAAGGCGAAAACTTCCTGCAATTTAGACAAGATATTACCAGGAGATCTAATAGGGTGTGTTAAAACACCTTGTCGAAATCTGAAATAGAGTTTGATAATCATTATTGCAATGAACTGCCCTCTGCTCAAATGAGATGTCCTGCATCAAATCATGTCATGTAGATTCACATGGATATCCATTAATGTTAGCCATATTTAATGAAAGGAACATCCAGGCATTATAGGCAAACATACAGGCAAGTATATGTAAATCTCTCTTTGATGAAAAACAACTGATGTTCATAAGAAATTGTTTTTAACAACTAATAGCATAACCAGCAGATTGTCCATGCTCAAAAATAACCAATGGAAACTAATAACAAAAACTTACTCATCACACATATAAAGAGTCTGTATAATACTGTTCATATAACATGAATTACCAAGATTTAATAACCCAATCTTTCCTGTTTCTGATTTCTGTAAGCCTGATACATCTGTTAATGAAGCACTAGATGTTCCTCCCCATTTACTCTCAGCTAGTTTCATCTGTATTACATCTTCACTGGGCTCAGGGTACATCTGGAAAAGAGAAGAGACATCAGTTGAGACATTAGACAAGATATCTAATCAAAAGACTTGCGTTAAAATTGAAAGCAAGATCAGGAATGTACAAACTGAAAATTCTTGTAACAAGGCAAACAGTGGTGGTAAACAAATGACCTCACATAATGCTATCATATGTCATTTTACTGATATTTTTATATATTTACAATCTTGTGTTCAAAGAGTTTTAAAGCATATTTATACAAATATTTGGATCAACAATTCTCGGATTATCAACATGATTTGAAAGTTAGATTGAATAAATTCTAATATTTTCTGAACGCCATCCATAAGTAATATCGTCCATGAAGCAGACTTAACATAGCAGGTCCCAGTGAATTAGTACCTTATATTTGCCCTTACTCCACCACATTATGTCTTCATCCAAATCAAAATCACTGATATCAAACATGGGGTTGGTTTAGTCTACACCCTACTATTCTAGCACTATGAAAGTTCCACTGTCTTAAACTGAGATCTGTTTATATTTTATAACTTTTAAAATATATCTAATTTAGCTAATTAACACAGAAGCTTTAGAGCTCAAAGAGTAATTAGCTTCTACTCTAATTGACTGACATATCTACTGGATACTTTACTTGTAAAATCATCATCCTTTGTTGACACCTTAGTTAATTAACTGACAATGAAAATTGTTAATTAAGTTATATGATTCAACTCTATATCATATTATCTAATCACATCTGAATAAACCTTTTCAAGAACAAATTATTTGAAATATATTCCACTATCAATTAAATTCAATTCCTAAGTACATTTATATTGTTTAGAAAGTCAAAATAATTTTTATTGGTCTAAATGTGCCTTTTTAGTATTTTGACCACACACATGACAATTAATCATTTGGTCAGCTTTGATATTTCTCATGTCCTATTTAAGACTTTCTGAAAATTCTACTTTAAATTGTTTGAGAAATCCTTATATACTTAGTTATTTTGAATAATTTCAATAAGAACGAATAGTCATTTTTTTTCATATTGCAGTTTATTTGTAGTCTGAAATCATATCATAAGAGTTGCTTCCCTTGAATAGCTACAGACATCGATCTGATCGATTGTGTGCTCAAACACTTCATCAAGATGGAAAGCCCATTTCTTACTTAAATCTTTGTTTGTAAACATGTCGTTGAAATAATCATAAAAAGATCGCTTGCCAGGCAAGATAATGTACACCCACTGGCAGCTTTTATTTTAAATTAAAACATTTGGCAGTACAGTAACAGAATGGAATATTCAACCTTTAGTCATACACTTTTGAACTTTTAGGAGTGATACTGAATAATACAATTATTTTGTTAAAATCTGGCAATAATTGAGCCTTTAAGTGTTTACGAACTCATATAAAATAGTTCTCATTTTTTTTTTTCAATAGGGTTCATCCTTGGGAGGTTACAAACATTCACACCAATTTTCATCAAAATCCTGAATTGTGCCTTCTGGAGCGTTTACGAGCAGACGGACATGAGGGACGCCAATATATATGCCCCCATTAAATGTGGATGTATAAATTGACCAAACTGCAAAAGATAGCAAAACTTTACCTTGATCATTTCAATCAGTGGTTCATATAAATCAGGGAATCCTGTATGATGGCTCATTAAACAGTATAACAATTCAGCTAAATTACTTAAACACTCCAAACTTTCCTTTGTTTTCTCTTTACGTAATACTGCTACTGTACCTTTAACTTGAGGTATAATCTGTAAAATATAGGACCAAAATTAATCACAGTTTTATAATGGCAAATATAATATTCCAGATCTTAGCAGTTTAAAATTTGCTACAGGTTTACAATCATGCTTACAGAAATCAAAATGCTAACTTATTTTTGAACTGATGTTACAATAGAGAAATGTATTAGAATGTAATTGATATATAATGTAACCGAATAGATGGAATGGTAACATTGTTACATTCTGTATATAAAGCAGAATATATAATGGAAATATTTAATAACTTTTAAAAGGAAATTACATTAGTTTTCAGGACAATGTTGCAAACATAAAGATTCAAAGTAAAATTCTACCCTTAGTTTTTGTAAAATAAAACACAAATTGCACTATTTTTTTCCCGTTTTAAACTTTTCCTTTTTTCATCAATTTATTCTTACCTTATGAAAGGGTATAGCTGAATGTTGAAAACTAAGTAACATATGACTCAATATTTTAAAACTGGCATCTCTTACTGGAGCATATTGTAATTTCTCCATTACCTTCAAAACATAAAAAAAAACATCCTAATGAGAACCTCAGAATCTGATAATAAATATATTATGTTAATATTTGTTCCAGGTACCGTAACTATGTAATGATTCTTCATAATTTAAAGGCTGAAGACATTTTCTTTAGAAAAATTTGTATACTGCATCCAAACCTGATAACTTGCAAATTTGTACATTCATATTGATTTCCCTGAATTTTACCAGATTTACTGGAGGATAAGAAGGGGTGTGCATATTTTGATAAATTCGCAATCATACAATAACAGATAAAATATTTGGAATTATACAATAACAGATAACTAAAATCCCAGCGTATTAATGATTTGAGGACACGGGGAATCCAATTATCTGCCAAGGTTGAAGACCAAGAAATATTTAATCAATTTACTTTCAGAAAAGAAAATTACTAGACAAAGCAGGATCATGAAAATGTGTCACAAATTTAACTATCTAGCTCGTAATACTCCTACATCAATCTACTTACACTTTCAATCTTGCTCTCTGTTACTGAGATTAATACAGTATATTTCTTATGGGTGGCTAATTCCTTTAAAAACATTATAACAATTTGATCTATATTAATACATGCCGGCCAGTTTAACCAGTTGACCATTCTCTGTAAGGCTAAAGTCATAGCATCATTATCAACCATATCAGTTTTAACAGCTTGTTTTATTACATCATTGCAGACGTCATTAGGAACACATGTTAACAACGATCCCAAACAATCTGATGGCTCTTCAGATGATGTCACATCACACAATATATAAAACACATTCTTCAAACAATCTAACACCAAACTGGCATCTCCTGATTGCCACAAATGATGTATAAACTGAACGATACGTGCTACGTCTTTCACAAATTGCATAACTTCATTTTGATTCTCTGGTGTCTTCCCTTTACTCAAACCTTCAATTAAACTTTCACAGAATTTCAGCCTGTATTTTCCTTTCGGCACACAGTCTTTATATTCCTCTAAAAATATCACAAAGTTTCTGAGACAAACAGTGTCTATATGTTCCTGTATAAATTTAATGGCTGACGCTTCGATGATTTTTTGCGAATTTGTTCGTGATTTGTTTGGCACTATTCGCATACACTGATGGATTACTAGGGGGGGATTAGCTTCATTTTTATATTTAGTTGTTAATAATGACACTAAGTAATCTCTAGAAAAGAATGAATCCACACAAGGTTGGTTATGTTTTGCCCAGGACACAAATATTTCCCATCCTGCACTGATTTTTAAATCATTTTCACCATCCAAAAACCATTTTGATGTCAGATTTAAAACTGGTAGTGTCATATTTGATGCATGGGGTTGTGCCCCTTTCTCCACTATTTTCTTGAAAAGTGTTCTCTTAGCACCTTCAGGATGATCCGATTTAAGAATTCCTTCCAATATGCTATCCATATCGTCGTATTCATGCTGAAATGATAAAAAGGGAAAGTATTAATATTATACAAATTAAATAAGCTTACGCACAGAGAAATGTGAAAGAGTAAACTTATTTCAAAATATAATCATTGAATATATAGATTTTACTCTTTACCAGCTACCACTGTTTCTTGGAATTTTGTTGAATGTTTAGTTTTTGTCTAATTAAAAAGTCTGCATTTTACGTGGGTCCAGAATTAAATATATTTCATACTAGTATTTTGAACTTATCATAAGTTATAAGATTTGAAAAACAGTGGACCCCAGTTATTAATTTGACAAGAACTGATATCGTTTGTTATATTTTTATATAAAGTTCTGACCAAAACTTATTTGAATTGAATAAACCCATTTCCAATTTTAATACAGTTTTCTAAAACTTAGAAATAAACACAGGTTGGCACTTTTTGAAGAAGACTTGACTAAATGAGGTGAAAATACAAAATATGGTTTGATCTTTAGAGATAAGGTTAAGATATGATGGAATAATGAACAGATAAACTGTTTTGATGGAAAGCCTAGAATAAAGTTCTTACTGATGTAAAAATATTACATGCAGATTAATATTTCATTTCATAAAGAAAGAAGGTAATCAATGTTTATCATAGTGATATATATGAAAGACAATATTGTGGTCTTTTAATTCATATGAATATTGACCTAATTAATCAAAACTGGTTCAATATTATTATCAATAAGACCTTGAATACAGTAATTTAAACTATGTCAATTATTAGGGTGTGTATATAATACCAGATATCCGTCAAGTTTCACCTATTGATAATATGTATAGTTTAAGTACATATTGAGTAAACCAGGAAATAATAAATATATTTCATTATAACATCAGACACCAGCAGGTTGTCTTTAAGATTACAACTTGTTACATAGTTGACATTTAATTCCTCTTTAACTTACATTTATTATTTCGATGTTTTTATTTTTATGTAGTATAATGTATGTCATGGCATAAGCTTGCAATTCCCTGTTTGAATTTAAAATTTAACTAATGGATAACCATGATAAATTAACATCAAAGTCTTCACTAAGATACTGAAATCACTAAGATGCTGAAATCACCAAGATACTGAAATCACTAAGATATTGAAATCGGACTGCTTGGATAATTTATTGTCTAATAACACCAAAAACAAAACAACTTTAACCTGTCTTCTAGACAACTGCAACTTCTGTGTCCTCTAACTTGAGAATTTAAGATCCATTTTCCTAATTTTAGCTATATGATAGTAGCATTTTGTCAAAATAATGTTAAAGTTGTATATATACTATGACTGTGTGACATAAACAATAAAGTCAATATAAACCTTATATTTCTTACAAAAGATTATTGATAGTTAATTAATATTAGCTCACTAGAAGAAAAGACATTACTTTTAAATTATTACAAGATTATTTCAAATTCATTAGTAATATATATAATGGAACAATGGACAACAAACAGACATTCACCTTTGGGAAAAGTGATGTCATAAAATAGAATTTTAAAAGTTAAATGGAAGCCAAAAAGGCTAGATAAACCTCAAAGAAACATTTCATCCAAAGAAGAATTGTTAAAGCCTGACAAAAAATGAAGGCATTCTGTTCAACATTCTGAAACCAGCTATTCATGAGAAACTTGTGGTAATAACCACACACGATATAACCACAGCAAGGTTATTTCTTACGTTAGTTATAAAATAATATCTGAGGTGTACACAAAGCCAAAAAAATTAAAAATTTAAACACTGTTTTAATAGGAAAAACCATGTTATACCAACAATTTGTGGTAAAATAGTTACATTAAAATGACACATATAAAATGAACCCAAGAAGCATAATTCATATTTTATATACTGGTACTGTCATCATAACTTATTTTACTGTTTTATCATTTAAACCCCTGACAGAATTATGTTCAGACACAGACAATGGACAATCCTTCTAGCCATGGTAATCTTGTTTTTCAATCTTGATATCCATCAGTGTGGTTGTCAAAAGATCTTAATTTGTAAATCTTAAATGTAAATTTGTAAAGAAAAAAAAATCCAGAATGAGAGTTTGGCATTATACATTGGTACAATCAATCATAAATGAGAAAATATCTCATAATGAAAAGTGTTATCAGGTGTCTAAAAGAGTTAGCATAAGTTTACTAAGCAATTGTCTATAAGTTATGTTTTTGTTTGTTTGTTAATCTAATGATGTTCAATATCTAATTTTAAAGTAATTTATAAGCTTATCTGTTATAATAGAAGATGTTATTGCTTCGTCTTCATTTCTTATAAAGTTTTCTTACAAATCAAAGGCTGAAAAACTGTGGCAAGAAAAGGTCAGACTGTTATCTGTATCCAACTAATTAATTAGTTTCCTTTTTGTTCTACTAATCTATCTTAGCTCATTTAGTTTGAAGGTCATTCACTATAAAAAAAATCAAACAATTCTTAGTCATAAATGTAGGCATTTAATAAGATTGTAAACAGTACCAAAGTACAAAATAATATCATTAGATATTGACTTTCTGAAAAGAATGCTGAGTTGAAAAACCCAGTTGCAGAGCGTTATTGGGTGATATATGCCTACTCCATTAACAGCCACATTAATCATTGCAGTTTAGAGTTAAAACCTACACAAATTTAAATGGATTAATGGATTCGCGATTTCCTACTATCTTGCCATCAACAAAGTTTACTGTTGCATAACCATCTAAAACATTCATGTATTTTGTGCCAAGAATAATTATAAAGGTATATAGTATAAATATGTATGTATATAGGTTCAGGTGACCCAGTGTGATTTAAAATTCAAAAAGTATAATACAGGGATTAATAGCATTAAACCATTACAGCATGTTTCAGGTTTCAGAGTTTTAGTAATCTATACATGTAACTATACCCTGACCTAAAGAAAATATTAGACTGGAACAAGTTATACAATCAACTGTATTTATATACCTATTTATCACATGTTTCATAACAGTAAAATTCATTTAAATATCAAAACACAATTAAAAGAAAGGAAACAACCAGCATAGTTTGATAACAATGTCCAAAATTAAAAAAAATATAATAATAGAATAAAGAGATAATCATATTCTTTTCATTTGAATGACATGTTTCAGGTTCCATAAATCTACATTTATATACCTCAAAGTTTCCGATCAATACCAGTCTGTCAAAGAAGCAGCAGCAGAAACTTCTCAGTTTCAAACATGTCAGTAAAAACCACGTAACTAATCCTAATCGGTTGTTTTCATTTAATCTAAAAACAATCTCAATTTATCAAATCAAAAAGAATACTCTATCAAATTTGCACCCAACCTTTGTTTTATTGCAAAAACAAATTTTTTCTATTCTTAGTTAATCTGTATATATGTTAATAAAGCTTCTGTGAGCAATGTAGAGATATTGAATGACCAATGTTAGTCTATAAATAGATAAATATCTATATATATAAACAGGATTAACCTACTTATATTATCAATATTGAATAATATGCTAATCTGACATTTGCATATATTCATGTTCCTTCTTATCTAATGTAACAAATACATATACTTAGTCCGTACAATAATAAGGTTACAACCCATTTAAAAAAAGTTACTTATAATATATTATTTATAACCAGGGCTGCCGATTGGGCTTTATTTTCAGGACCTGACCGGCAGGGTAGCTCAAATGTTGGCAAATCAATATAGAGCATCGAGAATAGGTTAGCCATTTAATGTTATTCAATGTCCAATGACAAATCACTCTTATATATATCAGATGCTTTATATCAAATGATATCAGCTAATTGTAGAAATCTGCAGGGTCAAAGGCTTCCACAAGGAAGGCAACAAATTTCACATTGAGATAAAGAAGTGGGTTCTATTAAATGACAAAACTTGAAGCATGTCGTCCCTGTATGTCATAAGAAATAATCCTAATGAAGAAATATGAGTGGGTGTAGATGTACAAGGTCAGATCTGATGTTCAACTACATATTTTGACCGAAATCAACGAGTCAGAAGTGTACAAAAGCATTTTTTATTGACGTGAATCTTTTCAATACTGCTTAAAAAAATCCACTGAATTGAGCAATTTGAATTGACGTCAGAGAGTGTTTTTAACTAGTGATAAATGGAACTGATTTCTATACTTGAGTTGGTATTTGGGGTCACCTATTGATAGTCATTACATTTATCCATCTCAATGATCTGACCTTATTTTAAGTATATTGAACCTTTAAGCCTTAAATAAGGGATGGTGAGCAAGTATTCAGCTGAAATATGTTAATCTGTATTCTATAAAGAACCAAATTAAAATATTATCATCAAGTACAGCAATGAAATTCAATGAAAATTGCTGTCATTGCTAAAATATGTTTATGGCTGTAGCATCTTTAAATGGTCATAACCTCGTTTACCAGATATCTCACTTTTTTCGATTTTTTGTGACTGATCAACATTTCATTGAAGTGGTAATCTCTTACATAAACTGTCTTCTCATAAAGCTGTCCTGAAGCATGGAAACAAAACAGTATGGCGCTTGAATAAGTGATCAAACTAAATATCATAGTTTTTGATTGTATTATCATTAAATTATACCATAAAAACAATAAATGTGGTTTCTCTAAAAGAGATTCTGCCTAACAGAATGGCGTTAGATGTTCAAGAAGTGTACTCATGTCCTGTCTTGTTGTTGACATCTATAATGTCCATGTGATAAGAAGATGGGTTGAATAGCCTCTATTTATCAGGTTATCTTAAAGTTCTTACATTAAACCTCCTGTACTCAGGTCAAAGTCATAAAGAAACTTATCAACTATTTCATCAATTTTTATTAAACCTCAACAAATAGAGCAGAAACTTTGATTGTGACAGCATTTTTACTTTTCCTCTCTGGTTTCTAGTTTTTGAATTAATTACTTAAATAAGTTAGGGCAAGGCATCTACTGTTACCAACAAACCATTTATAAAGTGATTTAAATGTAAATGGAAAAGAAAATACTAGGTAACTACCACCCTAGTGAATTCATTAGCCCAATAAAGTGCTGAATAAAACAACAGGAGGCAGCATTCTTCAGTTTAATCCATGTGCAAGATTCATGCAGAACTTATGCAATAATTATTTGAAAGTTTGAAAAATATATCTTGTTCACAGAATCAAAGTCAAATATGGAGATGATATTTTAAGTCCCTTGTCAGACACTATATTTCCCTTTAGAAAGGTTAAAAACCTCATATAAATAACTATGAATATGTCTATTAATATATATTCACCTGGTATACATTGTGACAATTTTATTTACGCTGAATAAGTTGTTTATAATCAAACCTTAAATTTATTACTAATAGGACCTTAAGATTTTGAACCAGAACAACTTGATATTTGCTTGATATTCAATATGATTGGGAAGAAGCATCAAATATAAATTTTTTTGCTGAAAATGATGACTTTGATCATCTAAGGAACTGGAGTTTCTCTCAACATTTCATAAACATTCAAATAATGAAAATGTATTGCAAGTGTGACAATTTACATGTTAAAATTAAACGATATACGGACAGTAAATTTTGCTTTTTCAATATTTCTTTTTCTTCTTTAATTTCCATAAATTTTCCAAAATTATCCGAAAGCTATTTCTTTATATATACAAGTTACCTTGAAATAATATAATATGTTTCTAACTAATTGAATATTCATGAACTATTAAAATAACATATTCCAAGGTAAATCAAAAAATGTAGAATTATATAGACTTCCTTTATCCTTCAATTATAAATCTTTTATTTTTTGAAATGCAAATAAATTATCTTGGCACATGTGTACTGAGTAAATATATTAAAGTTAAGATGTGGAAGATGATCAAGATTATCCAGGTTTTCAGGTCTATGTATGATTTTTTGGACATTGAAAGCTTATATTTGCATTTAAATTTCGCTCTGACTTGAAGCCTGGTACACTTCAGATTTCATCTTCAGTCAT